TAGATAAGATCCCTGAAGTTGCAAAGACTAAAGTCTCAAAACCAAAGAGATATTAAGGAGGGGGCTTTGTAGAAAACGAAGCGTTTGAGAGAGGCGGGGCATAGAGGACCTACAATAATGTACAGTATTTGAAAAATAATGTGTTTTTTGAACATTACAGCATGTCAACATATTCTGTTACACCAAATACACCAAATAATGATCTTTAAAAAAGCATCATATGACCCCTTTAAATGTAATTTTAATGTTGTACTAAATTTTAAAGTATATGTTAATATAACTAGATTTTTAAATCTAAATACGTGCTTAAAGTCTAAATAAAATGCTATTTTGCTATATGGGACATATTTTGCATTCAAGCCCCAGGCGAAAAACAAGTGCACTTCCATAATGTACTTAAAATGCTCTATTTTCACGCACTAATTTTGTACTTAATATACTAAAAATGATTCTTTAGTACTTCTTAAGAACATCCACATCTTGAATATGAACTAAAATGTGCTTTCAACATCTTTCATACATTAGTACACTCAAGTGTACTACAAGTGGTAACTAAATAAATTTTTAATACAGAGTATGTTAAAAGCACATTTCAGTTCATATTCATGGTGTCTTAAAATTACACAGCTGAGTACACTGAAATGTTCTTGAGATTATTTTAAGAAGTACTAAAGAATAATGTTTAGTATATTAAGTACAAAATTAGTATGTGAAAATAGTGGAAGTGCAATTTTTCACCTGTTAATAAGATGGGTTTTCCCTAGCGAAAAATACATATACTAAAATGTTTTTGAAATACTAAGAGAAAAAAAAATTTCATGCTAAGTATACTACAAATACATTTATATTTATGTACTTAATAAAAAATTATCTCTGCAAATATGCTAAACTAGTATACTTAAAGTCTGCTAAATTGGAACAACTAATTTTGTACTTAATGCGTGCAGAAGTAGTGCCGAAGTACACTGAAGTATATTTGATTGTGTTAAAGTGGAACTATTGCAAGTATAGCCTACTTCAGGTACACTTTAAAAATCTTGCATTTAAAGACCGATATTATTCAAAGATCATATCATCAATAGTGACATTAAAACACATTTTAGGCTTAATATTAAGAAATGTGCATTGTGCACAAGTAGTACTCCAAGTAAAGCTTAATTCTAACTTTTATATCAGTAAATACGTCAGTAAATATTTTAATAGATGTTAACAATACTTAGTATGAAATAAATGTATTTTAAATATATAACTTTTTTTTACTAGGGTTGTCTTGCATTTATTATGCCATTTTCACATGAACTTCTTAACCTTTGGTTTCATTTTTGCTGTGAAGTGTCCTGTACAGATGTAAGGGAAAATACAGGGTTATGAAGAAAGCGTAGGAGGAACAATGGCTCGAAAAAGGACACCCATCCTCCTCTGCTCGACTTGGGAGGGGTAAAGTATACTTAAGTTACCCATTACGGCATTAGTCACGGTAAAAGCACAGTATTTTACCACTTGTAGTGGCGGAAATGCTTGTGTGAGAAAGTTACAGTATGATTGGCATTTTAAATGGAGTAAATTCATTAGCAAGAGCCATTTTTTCTGCCATATTTAATGCACATACCCTAAGACCCCTCACAGCTTTTCACACCATAGATCTATTCACAGAAACTCTCTTTCATCTCGGCGGCATCTCTGTCTCAATTCACACATAGCTGAGACAGAAATAGCAACCATCCCTAAAATGGCATTTGGTGTGAAGACAAGACTCATGACAACTCTCCTTTGATCATACTGCATTTTACAGAAGAACAATAAGTACTTGTACTTAACATTTCATGCTCTCCATCTTTCTTTCAGGAAGTCAATTTGTCCTCCTGCACTGCTCTGGCAAGAAAAAGCCATCTGAAGGCATGAATGTAAATAGAGCATAGGTCTGTGGTTTATGGGAGAGAGAACCTACGCAATAAAAAACAAAGGGCCTACGTGTTACAGCAAAAGCCTACACTAAAGGGAAATCGCACACTTTTACGCAGTGGTGTTTATTTGTGTTGCCATTGTGGGCCGCTCTCTATTGCCGCACCACTGAACTACAGGCCTGAGAGGAAGTTTCCAGTGCGGTTATCATGACGAGGGTCTTGGAGTCCAGGAAGTTCATGCAGGAAGTTTTAAACACTTTTTCATATATGTTCTATTATATATTTTGGAGTGTTTTGGGGGTTTAATTTTGCAATAGTAACTATATTTATTTACTTATACTTAGGGTATTATAAGCAAGACAAGTATTGAAATTTGGTGTGAAACTCACTGACAATCAGACAATAAAATGTTGAAAACATTCCAAACTTATTTTGAGTTTATATCGCAGTTCTGACTTTATTGCAATTGCGAGTTTATATCTAGGAATTCTGACTTGTTTCACAGAATTGAGAGACATAAACTCGCAATTGCGAGTTATAAAAGTCCAATTCTGAGGGAAATAGTAATTTCTTACAATTGCGTATTATAAGTCAGAATTGAGAGATATGAATTGTGAGCTTTTATCTCAATTCTGACTTTATTTCTCAGAATTGCCAGTTCATATCATGCAATTCTGACTTCATAACACCCAACTGCGACTTAATAACTCGCAATTCTGACGTTTCTGATGTAATTCTGATGTAAACTTGCACTTGCGAGAAAAAAGTCAGAATTGTGAGATAAAAAGTCGCAATTACCTTTTGTATTTTTTACTCAGTGGCAGAAATGGGCTTCCATGTGTTGGTGAGTTTTGCATGTGTTTGCAGTTATTGTGCAGTGTGTCATTGTGTTTGCGGCCTGCTCGCGGCATATGTGATGGTGATCAGAGCTGCTTCTTTAAAGGGTCACTCCTGAAGCACTCATGCTTGACTTTCCCTTCTGTCTCCATCACTCTCACTCTCTCCTGTTTATCTCAACAGTGCTAAGAGAAATGACATCCGACAGGGACGCAGACAAACATTTGTCCAGATGAGCTGCAGTAACAGGATTGTGTTTGGACAGGAGCTTCTCTCTGTAGGGAACAAGGTGACAGTTGATCAGCTCAAGCACACTTAATGTGACGCAAACTAAGATCTGGGGATGTAAATGTTATTCAGTGTTATTGGCCAAACCATGCGTGCCCACAAAGGTTGACAGTGTCTCAGATCCTCCCTCTGTAGTGATGACGTCTAATTCTAAACCACACCATGTTATTTTGAGACAGGTATATTAGACGCATGTTGGCAGCGTTTCATAACTTGTTTACTGAGACGCTCTCATCGCATCTCCCCGATAGATTTTACTTGTGTATTTATAGACTGGACACAAGAACCACATGAGGGAGCAATCAGTCAAAACTGTTTACTCAAAATTTCAAGTTAAGTGCAGTTAGAATGCGTGTGTTGTAAAGCAAAGATCTAGCGTTCTAATCTACAGTATTCATTTTGGTCTTGATTTATGTAACATTAATTTCTATCTGTAATTTCTTGATATGTTAATGTGAGGTTCATGTATTGTTGAAATAGGGATTACCTTCATCTGAAACTAGTCAAGAAATCTTTTTTCATATCTTTTTCTGACAGTTAACCTGCACCACTTGTTGTAACCATAGAAAAATAACCTTAATGGTTTTAAATTTCCTTTATGAAAAATATAATTTCTTTTTTTTTTTTCAAGACCCTGATATTGTTGACATAATATCATTTGATTCGTCCTATTATTGTTGAAATGGTGTCTGACCTCAATGCAGATTCTCTGAAGTGAAACGCTGGAGGATTCTAAGAATGAACCACATGCAGAACTTTCTTTGCGGTTCTGATGATTCATCCACCCAACCGTGAGTTCACATCGATGACTAGACTGCAGCTCTGACCAAATTCAACTGGTATTTCGGTACTGTACATGCACACGCTTTTAAACAGTCAAACAATTTTCAACAACCTATCTCAAATGTGTTTATGATTTATATAGGCTCAAACAAAACCACATTCGTGCTCATTTTAACAGAAAGGAAAACATTGGGCAACAACAACATTTAGCTTTAGATGTCACTAAACACCCAATTCAGGGGGGTTAAAAGATAAGAAAAGATGGCATCAGCTATAAGGCTTTTGATTCATGCGATCTGGGTACTTCATCAAGGTGAACTCTTTGTTCAGAAAGACGAATTGTCTTTTAGGTACACTAGATAAAGGCTGCACTTTATTCTTTATAAAGGAGTTCAGACCTCAGATAAGGCATCCGTCTGGCTCTCGTCTCCTTTCCTTTGGTCTTTTAAAAAAGGAGGCTCCTTGTCTTTGCTCTTTGGTTGTTTCTTTAAGGAGTTCCTCACCTTCTGACCCCAGACCTGAGAGACATGCTCCAGTATACACTTCTCCAACAGGGGGAGGTCAAAACTTAGAAAGTGGCAAATGCACTCCTATGCAGAGATGGGGATTTTTTTTTCTTTCTTTTTACAGTTATAGAAATGATAGAATCAGTGGAAAGAGATCAACTGATTTCTCTAGTTTGTATTTAAATTTAGAAGTGGTAGTGAGAGTGATTGGTTACCAAGTGATTTATAATTAGGGTTCCTGCAACACCAGTTGGTTAAGTTGTTTAATGACAAAAAGTGTACTGCAGGTATTTTATTGTTACTCTAATATGCTGTAAAAATGTTTAATCAGGTAACTTGAAAATGAGTTTTAATTAAAGTCCAGTATATAATTGAATATATTTAAATCAATGTGACTAAATTAGGTTATGTCAGCAAATACTGGTCATATCAGGTTGAAATAAATCTTTGAAGGCACCAACTGAAACTCCTTTTCTCCTTTTTTGTTCTCCAATTAATTAATTTATTTTTTACATAAACCTATTTTCTATTGCTACTGTCCACTACTGAATAAATATGACTTAAATGTCAATTAAATATTATTTAAAAATATGTTTTATATATTTAAACAAATATTATTATTTTTTATTTTATTTGTTTGTTTGTTTGTTTATTTATTTGTTTGTTTTAAATTTACCCTCGACCACATCCACCATCATGGTCAGATGCTTTTGCTAAGCTTGTCATGCTGCATTTTGGGTTTGCTTAAAATTGTATTTAAAATTTTAAAAAATAATAATTTTGGTACCCGTTGTTATCTTCAAAATAAAATTAAAATGTGTAGGTAAATAACAGTGAGATTATATTTTAGCACTGCTCAACAGAAATTTGCAGAAATTTCAAAACTGGCCCATGCTGGATTGGTGCCGGTCTAGCTAGTTGGCTATGATAGCCGTGCTGTTCACCAGTTGGTGAAGTTGGTCAACCAGCATTGTCTGTGAGATGACAGACTGGTTGGCCAAAGGAAGTCATACTGGATACAGCTAGTTATGAAGCCGGTTGGGGACCAGCATGTAAAACATAACATATGTTGTTGTTTTTAAGACACTTTCTCTGTCTGCAAGTTGTCCAGTTTTTAGCTCTTCTTAATTTCATTTAATGTTGAGCGTGCAGATTACGCCTCCTGCTAATAGCCATGTAAAGACATCAGCATCTGCTGCCTCTGTTCCAGGACCAGTGTCGAGTTACGTGCAAATGGATCCTCATTACTGCACAAAGAGGGTTCAGTGAACTTCAGATTCCTGACGTATCTCAGCTGGCAGTTGGGTGATAATCTGTAAACTGTTTGCAAACCCTGATTCAGGACCACACTGATTACATCTAGACTCAGATAAGACGAATCGTTCGTTTCGAGTTTGCAACGGAGCTTGAATCTTGCTGAACTCATGTAATATGAAAACATTCATTTGTTCTCTCTTATTGTAAACCCCAAAATCATTCAATTATTCCATTCTCGTCTTTCCAAACTTGTATGATGTTATATACTTCTTTTTTTTTTTTTTTTTTTTTTTTTTTACAGTTTCTGTCCCTATTTACGTTGAGTGAATGGAAAAGTGCAGCCTGGACATCCTATAGAATAAGGCGACATGGAAGTGAGTTTCTTTTTTGTGAACTATCCTTTTAAGAAGGATTTGCATAATAAGTGCTTTAGCCAAACCTTGCACAGCAAACTCATGATCTCAAATGGGTTCATGTGGGCTAACTGGTTTATAGTATAAAGTTCAGTTTGATGTTCTGTAAATAAAATGTCTTTTGCAGCCGGTCATTAAGTGAATGATCTGTTTTCATCCGCAGACGTGACCATTTGCATTTCCATATGTAAAAATCTTTTAAAAAAGAACGTTCTGTAATTATGCCTTTTACTCGCCACCAATTCAGACGAACTATAAATCACGGCAAACACAACTGCGTCTGAGGAATGTGAAACGGTTTGCCCCACTGCAGACACAGACAGATACACAGATGCTAGAACACACACACACTCTCTCCTCTTACACGCTCACGTACTCCGGCATATATATACTGTCCTTTTGTCTCGTTTCACGTCCCTCAGCTGTCCACTGTCACTCACCCCATTTCATGCTGCTGTCACAGGACATTTTCCCACAAATCTCCCACGCACATGTTCCCTCTGACAGTTCACACACGTGCCAGAAACACACACAGCACACACATTCAACTCTGACGGGTCCGAAGTCGACATAAAATCAAAATTGACCCTTTGACTATTTACTACACATTTCTGGTCTGACTGTGAATGATTCATTGGCGAATAAATTCCAAATGATTTTTTTGTCTTCATAATCTCACTCTGCCTCTGAATTGACTCTCCTCTTTCGTTGACGTCACCTATTGTTAACCAATAGCCAATAACTATTTTATATTTTAGAAAAGTCTTAGTCTGGTGAGAAAAAGCCTGCTTTGTAGGATCCAATAAGTTTCTGAGGAATAAATTCAAGTCCCATCCAAATTTTTTCCCATTAAATATTTTATTTTACTCAGAAAAACTAACATCATATTACAGAAGTACAATGAATTGTATACAGGGGTATCACTGTGGCTCTCAAGAACAGCATTTGCAAGACATTTTTACTTTTAAAAGCAGGGGAAGTTTGACAAAACTACATGTTCTAAAATTACAAACAGCATATGTTGATTTGCTTATGATTTGTTTAAAATAATATGATTTTAATTGAATTTTTTCAAACTGGGAATACAAAGCCAGAAGAAACGAGAACACATTTTTTTGAATATTCAAATTGAAAATTAAATTGAATGAACATGTGCTGTGACATCAGACATTCTGAATCTGTATGAAATTACATTTATATTTCCATTTGTGAAATCACATTGAAAATAATTTTTAATCAATACTTTTGTCTTGTTTTTCACTAACATAGTCTAAATACTAATGGTATTAGACTATTTTAGTGGAAAACAAGACAAACAAGGCAAATTTACATGAGAATCAAAGCTATTATGAAAAATGTCTTGAATTAACTTTGTTTTTCTTTTCCCATTGGCAAATTATTAAGTGTAATATTATATTAAAAAACTATTTGCCAGTGGGGTAAGAGAAATGCAGTGCATGAATTTAGACAAATTAGTGTTTTTTTATTACCTGAAAACCAAATTTCCTGCAACACGCTTGAGCATTCGAGGAACTATCTGAACATCAAGATAATTTTATCTGACCAAATTAAAACGCATATCCAGAGAGAATGTGCTGGTGTCACATGAGGATTCGTTCTGACTAACCTCTATGATAGGGTTCTGTCTGTGTGCCACATGGTGAATACAGAGAAATCCAACTTCTCAGAAGGAACTCCCTGGAATGGACCAGAGTGCATATAATGCAGTGCCAAGACTTACTACTATCTTTGTATTCCTGCGTTTTTATCAAGTTGGCATTCATACAGTGACCTGAACAATCCAATTCACTTCACACACACATTCACTCATTCGAACTCTCGTTTGTCCTCTTCACAGAAAGTCATCTGGCCTTGAAATCATAGTGATACGTCAGCCACCAAACAAACACCCATATGCACACATGCATATCAATCAGCAGGGAATGTAAACCAAGCTTTGCTGAGTACTGTAATCATGTTCTACTGAACTTTGTCCCAGTATTTGGAAGGACTTCTTGGTCCCTTTAATTCAGTGACATGTGTACCCCATGCATACTTGGAAAGATGTTGATTTTGCTTGGGAAAACCCTTTAAATCAGAAATATAAAATAAGTAATCAAGAGTTTTCTGATATGCATAATTTCTCTCAATAATACTTTTTTCTTTCACTAAAAAGACCTAAAGCTATTAAATATGCCATACTGCAGCTGTAACCGTACTTGAGGCAAAACTGAGTCAAAAACCTACAATCTGCTCCCCAACATCTTTATTTTGCAATGCCATCATCTTAATTTGAATACATTTCCACGAAATAATCCCCTGTAGGCAGATTTCTGTGTATCTTGTCACATTCCTGTGTGTTGAGGAGCTTATCATGTTCTTCTGATCTCTGTAGCTGTAGGAACAAGCTGAAGAAGTTGAGAAATACATGCTGGCGGTTATTCTGAAAATGTCTGTTTCCCACCGGAATTAAACTTATACAGGTGAATCTCGTGCGATAAGAAATTATAAAGAAATCGTAAGCTTTACTTTACAAGTGTCATGACAATTAAGCACATTTCAGCCCCAATTCCCATTACTTTAAAGGGTTAGTTCACCCAAAAATGAAAATTCTGTCATTAATTACTCACCCTCATGTCGTTCTAAACCCGTAAGACCTCCGTTC